CCGGAGCCTGGAAGTTCATGTTTTTATAGTCTTAATGATCCAGAAAACTGCAGTTGGTGTTTTTGAGAGCATCGTCGTCATCCCGGTGTTTTTTCTGCTGTGGCGTGCGTTCAGAGAGCTGATGAGGCTTCAGCGCGAGGTCATGTCTGCCGAGACGGCTCTGGAGCAGAAGCGCATGGCTCGACACAACATGCTGCTCGCCTGCAAAATCCATGATCTGCGGATCACCTTGAGGTCAGGCAGCCTCAACGACATCAGCGAGGTGCAGGTGGGACTTCCGTTTCAGTAACTTGACTGGTTACAGAAGGAAACGGGAATAATGTCAAACCCTCGTGTTTATCGTTTTCGCAGCTCATGACGGATTCAGAAAGTACGACAGCCACGATGGACATTTATGAACGAGAAGCTCAGCTCGTTATTGATTATTCTGAGCTGGAAGAGGAGCTCACGGTGAGAAGAGGGTTATGGTAGCTTGGGGTTTTTCACTGTAGTTTAGTTTTATTTCATTTGTCTAATAAAGTTACTTTTAGTTAGTTTTTATTAGTTACTATAAGTTAAATATTGTTCAGTTTTTACTAGCTATAATAGTTTTAGTTTTTTCATACTTTGGTTCATTTTAGGGACAGGATTCAAAAAGATAAAAGTATGGTATTGTGGTTATGTATTTATGGATTGGGTAATGAATACATAGAAGATGCCATGTTCAACAAAAAGTATTTCATTGTTGTAGAACAACCAACAACAAATCAACATCTGGAATTTTCTCCTAACTGTCGCCATTTTGTCTGCTAGACTTGATGTAAACTGTTTGTGTGGGGGGGAATCGGCTTCACATCAGTTCGAAAGGCTATGAGGATCCAGAAATACAAAAACAGGAAATTATTGTATCTATAATTTCATTCTGTTTTACTTAGTTTTATAAACTTCCATTATAGCTCCAGTTAGTTATAGTTTGTATTTCGGCTAACAAGAATGTTTTCTCAGCTTCAGTTTTTGTGATTTGGTTCGTTTTAGTTGACTAAAATTCAGCTGAATGATTTTTCCACTCAGCTTCAGTGTAACGTCGGTTGTGCGTGTGGTGACTGTATTTATTACAGCATCTGCTTGACGAGGAGCAGCTGGAGGCGCTCATGGAGAAGCTGAAGGAGTCGGTCTCCTCTTTGGAAGAAGTGCTGCATCGCACCACTCCGCCTAATCTGAAAGCTCTGGAGAAAATGAGGGAGGTGAAGGACAAGCTGCAAGGAGTGACTGAAGGTGGTTTAGTTTTCCTGTCGTTTTGTGTCTTTGCTCTTCCAGCGCGAAGATATTGACAGCATTGATAACGTAATGTCTCCCAAGAATCTAAACGAAACCCAAAAACAGAAAAAGTGTCTGTTCAACTGTTGGGAGCTGAAAGAAGTACTTTGTGAATATTTATTAGGGCTGGATTTGCTGTTGAGGTACCCAGAAAGTTTTCCGGTGCAGATTTGGCTTAACATTACACAACTACTGCTGTATTTTGAAACATAAGCACATCTGGGGGAAATAATCCCAGCCAAGTTAAAGCAACATTTACATTGTGACCAGATGTTGTCTTCACTTGGAACTATTTTGTGACGACTTATTTCTTATCTTTCGATACATGTTAACTTGTTTAAAAACATGTCTAAAGCTGAAGATGTCGAGCAGAACCAGTGGAATGTCGTCATCATGTCTTCAGTGTGTGTTGCTTTTGATGGACTCCCTGTCTCAGCTATGTGTGTGTTTTGGGTTCAGATACGTAGCTCTCAGTGTCCTGCTGTGTCAGGACGGCATACCTTATTTTAGCCATGAATAGAATATAATTTAATGTTTGTCACTGTGTACAGTGTATGTGCAGTGAGATTAAGATGACATCATTGTCTTTCGCGTAAACATAAAATTTCACATTTTTTTATAACTTAACCCTGTTTATTTGATTTTTTTTCCTCTCTTTCTCTTTTTTAAAGGAAAATATTCTCAAAAATGTCCTGTGCCTTCTATGAGTTTATTGGCAGGGGAAAATAAATTCAGATTTTCTGAAAGTTACATCTTTATAAATGGCAAATTCATTTAATTGAAAGTTATTTTATTTTTTTTTTTTGTAATTTAGGAGTAATCTAGCTGTCTGGGAATGAAACATCAACGTTTAGTCACCCAGTCAATAAGAAAATAGGTCCAGCTGTCACTGCTACTTTTACTGTCGAGCATTTTGGCATCTTTATCTGAGAAAGACACTGCCGTGTATTTGAGTTGCACTGGTTCTGTAACTTATCAAACTGTTACTGCTACAGTGTCAAGTGTACATACAGTAAGGCTACATCCTTTTTATTTGGTAAGAACCATTGCTTCTCTATTTAGAAACAGTGGTTTCTTAATAAAGTCTCTAAAAGGCATTTTTAGTTTTAGTTTTTCTCTTGACATGTGACAAATGGGTGCTAAATGTGGACTTCCTCTCCCTCACTCAGCCTTTGACGCCAGCACCAGAGCAGCCAGGAGGTGCAACCAGGAGTTTGAGCAGGTCAAAGCTCAGCGGTTCCAGCTCTTCAGTCGGTGCTTTGAGCATGTGTTGCTCGTCATCGATCGGATCTACAAGCGGATATGCAGGAACAGGAGCGCCCAGGTGAGAGCAAAACCCCCTCTGAGGACAGCAGGTGGCGCAAACCACAAAACCACAGCAGACACAGGAACAAGTCGGCCATCTTTTTTCACTGCTCACGTTTTCTCTGTGGAAAAACAGCGACCAGAAACGTCTTATTTTTGTTTTGTTTGTTTTTTTTTTCCCTCTTAAATGACCATGTCTGAATTTGATCTTTCCATGAACATTTTTCCATAATGTCTCAAGGCCATTCTGAGCGCCGAAAACCCAGAGGAGCCATATTTAGGTGGCATCAACTACAACTGTGTGGCTCCAGGGAAGCGCTTCATGTCCATGGACAATCTGTCCGGTGGAGAAAAGGCCATCGCCGCTCTCGCTCTGCTGTTTGCAATACACAGGTAACCCGGGTTACCAGCTTCAAAGAAATCATTTGCGAAATGTAATTGTTGTTACTATTGTTATTTTTCCGTCCATCATCAATGAATGAAGTCTCGTGCCTCTTCCTTTAGCTTCCGTCCAGCTCCTTTCTTCATCCTGGATGAGGTGGATGCAGCTCTGGACAACACCAACATCGGCAAGGTGCAAATGGAGAACACATCTGGACAAAAACAGCAAGAAGCAGAAATAAGAAAGTGGCTCCAGAAAGTCATTTATGTGTCACCTAATGCAGTCAAAAAAATTAAACAATAAGAACTTTCCCAAATTATTTGCCGGTATAGAGTAACAGTCTATATTTGTTTATCATTTTCCACAATATTAGTTTAAATATTGTTTGATTTTATAAATCTGCAAATAAACAAGCAAAGTCGAAAGTAGGAGTGTAAGAAATGCAGAGAGGAAATAAATCAATGGATAATTTAAAAAAGGGACAGTAATTAAATACAGAATATGACCCAAAAAATGAGTCAAAATAGCAAAACTAAAAAAGTATTAAATACTTCCAGCATATGGGAAGAAATAAGAAAAATAATAAAATAGGAAATGACAGTCAATAAAAGAACAAGAAATAAATATTTTGAATATGGGGTAAAAGAAAAAAAAATTAATTGAAATTGTAATAAAATAAAAAAATATGGGAGGGAAAAAAACAATGAAATTCAATGCAACAGCAAGTTAAAATATCTTCTTAAACACAATATGAAAGAATGAGAAAATAAAGGAAGCCAATAAAACCAATATGATTGTAAATAAAATGGAAAATTAAATAACAGTGTTTATGCTAAAATTGGAAGCTATAAATATTGATGTTATGCTGTGCAATCAAAAGAGCTGGGAACGTTCTTATTTACCGGACTCAATATTTAGCACATGAATGACTTTATCAAGCCATTTATTTACTCTTGTTTATCACCAAAGATGTCCGGATCCGTCCTCCGTGTTCGCTGCAGGCGGGACGCTCGCCGATGGGCTTTAGCTGCTGAGACATTAGTTGTTGTGATTTGTCCCCAGGTGACGAGCTTCATCAGAGAGGAGTCCAGAGAGAACATGCAGATCATCGTCATCTCGCTGAAGGAGGAGTTCTTCTCCAAAGCCGACGCCCTCCTGGGAGTCTACTCCGACGTGGGACACGTTTCCCCCCGTTGCTCGTTCAGTAGAAATACGTCCGCACTGATGTTTTTTTCCTCCTCGTTTTTTTCCAGTTGGATGGCTGCAGGTTCAGCCGCGTTCTGACCCTCGACCTGCGACCTTACCCTCTGGCTGAAGAGGACAGCGACAACGAAGCGGACAAGGAGAGCCGAGCGGATAGAGGATCGGAGTCCTGTTGCTCGGAAATTCCTTCATGAACCAAATCATTAGTTCGCAGTTCAACTCTTCAGAAAAAAACATGTTCTTACGGTCTCACTTTGTTATTGCGAAATAGTGACAACTGTTGTCTGTTACTACTTTTGTTTTTACTAAAACGCATCAATTCACTGTTCCTTGAGTGATGAACTTAAATCTCCGGGTGTTTACCGTCGATCGACCTGCTATAATAACCGCTTGTGGGTCCAATTCTGTCATCTATAGTCAGTACCATCTATTGATGATAGACGTCACCATCGACATCTATAGTCATAGTAGATGTCAATAGTAACGTCTACTATTGAAGTTTCTATCACTTGCAGATTGAGAGGTAGTTTTTAAAAAGTAGTTTTTTTATTGGAAAAATTATTTCCATGTTTGTAATGTTTGCATTAAGGGTTATTGTCTAAGCATAATTCCTGTTCATTAAAAGTACATAGAAAAAAAATGCCAATATGTTTCTTTGTTAATGATAGAATTGTTTTATAATGTGGGAGATAAAGCAGTAAACTTATTTACTGATGTGACTATTTGTGTTATTTGACATTCACTAAACAGAAAAACTGCAAGATTATTGGTGAGGAAATCATTATTATTATTTCAACCGGTTTTTTCCCTCCGCAGCAGCAGGGGGCAGCAAAGAACCAAGCGCTGCTTCCGGGCTAAGTATTTACGGAAGTAGGCAGATTGTCATCAGAAGTCTTAGTGGTTTTGGACGAACGGAACATAAAATGATATTTTCTCCACGTTTTAACTCGATCTTTTGTGATCAAGAAGCATTTTGTTGATCTCAGCTGTGGAGACGTGACGAATCTGCTCCTGTAGTTCTTCAAAGTGCCGTCGCGGCTTCACGCTCCGGGTTGCTTGAAGGACGGTCCAGGAAACAACTGATTCCCTTCTGGCTCCGAGTGGAAGGTGACGTTTGCGTTCAGGTGTCGTTGCCATGGGAAACGAACAGAGTGGAGATGCGGAACACAAACACTCCGAGTACAGCGCATCAGGTAAGACGAGCTGTTTCAGCCTAGGAATAGCCACGTTGAGTGAAGGTCTGCAGGCTGCAGGAGGAGCTCCGGTCTGGTGGAGGAGGATCCGCTCAGGTGGAGTTTCAGCTCTTGGTTCTGGTGTCGTTGCAGCGGTGCCGTCCCCGGCCAGACAGAAGGCAAAGATGGATGACATCGTGGTTGTGGCTCCGGGGACTCAGGCGCTGAGAAACATCCACAGCGACCCCGATGTGATCAAGCTCCAAGAGATCCCCACCTTCCAGCCGCTTCTGAAAGGTACGAGGCGCCGCTTGCTGGCGGGACGTCTGTCTGATGAAGGAGGGAGGCTCAAACTGAGGCACGGGGGCTATTTTTGGGCCCTGGATGTTTATTTTTGTGGTCCCACAACCACGACTTTAGAATGGTACTTACAAGGCAGTGGAAGTCGATAAAAAGTTGTTTTCAGGTGTAAAATACACAGGTTAAACACAAAGTACTCATTTTGTAATGATCAGGCTTTGCACTTTTTTTTTTATTGGAGTCTGTTCATCAGCTTTTCCTTAAAATCAGACCTAGATCCATCCAAATCTGCATTTTATTTAGTCATAAAACAAACAAAAACTAAACGCAGAAAAAGTTTTCAAAGAATGCTGACCCATATTCTGTTTTATGAGGGAAAAAAATCTTATGTTGTGACCCTCAAAGACTTTCAACGTAACAATTTTAGACCATATAAAAAGTTTGGGCATTCATGCTTTGTGGATATGACCCTTGAATATTTTCACCAGAAAGTCAAATGAAGTGAATGTGGTTTAAAGTGCAGAACCTTTGAGTCAGAAGTCAATGATCCAAGCGTTGCTTTGCTTTGTAAAAATCCAAAGTGTGGGCTCACTAAGTGAAATCAAGTTTTTTTGTGTAGCACTTTTCAGAAACAAAGCAGTTCAAAGTGCTTTACTGCATAAAAACATTATTCAGACATCAGTTGTGAAACAAGCAATAAATATTACGTTTTGTCAAATGCCATCGTCAAAAAAACCCATCAATTTTGTCTCTCCACAGGAGTGCTGAGCGGTCAGACGTCCCCAAGCACCGTCTGTCTGGAGAGGCTGGACCCGGCTCAGGTTCTGCAGCTCTGTATCCGGTACCAAGACCACCTGCACCAGTGCGCTGAGGCCGTGGCTTTCGACCAGAACGCTCTGGTCAAGAGGATCAAAGAGGTTCGAATATCAATGAGACCAAACCAGAGAGGAAGTTGTATATGATCCCCCGCCAGTACAAACCGTTTACCGTCTTTTTTTTTTTTGCCCTTTCAGATGGACTTGTCTGTGGAAGCCTTGTTCAGCATCATGCAGGAGCGTCAGAAGCGCTACGCCAAGTACGCCGAGCAGATCCAGAAGGTCAACGAGATGTCCATGATCCTGCGGCGCATCCAGATGGGGATTGACCAGACGGTGCCGCTCATGGAGCGTCTCAACAACATGCTGCCGGAGAGCGAGCGTCTGGAGCCCTTCAGCATGAGGTCAGAGGGCGAGCCTGCCTCCAAGTAGGCCAAGCTGGACCCAAACCCGGCCACGGAACAGGTGGACGAACGTGGGCCGCTTCGACTCGGCCCGTTTTGCCTTAACTGAAAGCGATAAGTAAGTGGCTCGTTTAGTCCTGCATGTTTTCCCAACACGGGGAAGGAGCAGGGAAAAGTTTCACATCTTCTTCTTGGACACAAACCATGGAAAAATCATGGAGACACTTGCCAAAAAAAAAAAAACCCACAGAACTAACAAAAGGCTTTTTTTTTTTGGATCGCTCGTCTCACTTTACAAATCATGGCTGAAATCGTCCTTTTAGTTCCAGTTCTGGTGTTTCGTCCTGAGCATCAAGATCAAGACCCTCCATTTGTGGGAAACTGAGAATGTTCTAGACGGACACAACCCAAAAGTCAAAGAGTCGATGTTTGCTTTGAGTTTTACTAGAATGGTTTGGTGTGAAGTATGCTGAAGTAACAGCAATGGATTAAACCAGCGTGGCTCTGAGCTGTTCCTCAAAAATAGCACCATCATTTTCAAACACTTGGAGCATCGTTCATGGACCTAAAAATCATTCAATGTTAACACAGCTGACCCGAGAGGGCACTGGGAGGACGGTCGCAAGACACGCATTCATAAAAAAATCTTTTGCCTCTTTCCACCTCCAACAGCAAATGTGTCGCCCTGGGCTAGTGCCCTTGGCAAAAGGAGTTGGAGCAGCAGAAGAAGCTCTGAGCACTAATGACAGAGGAATGGGTCAAAATGATGAATTATGCAAGTTGTGACACTGCAAATATTGAATATTTACATAAACCTGTTTGTTTTTTTTAATAAAGACCTTCAAAGTGAATAAAATGTTATTTCTCCTCATGCTAATGCTGTAAGTTAAAGGGCACAAAAGGTTACATCCAGCTACACACACTGTTTTTTCACTAGGTGGCGCCAAATATGCATGTTTTTTTTTTTGTTTTTTTTCCTGTATGGTCAATAAAAGTTCAGTTATTTCACAAACTCAGTCATTCAGTGAAACACATTATATAAATTAATTAGACACAAACTGATGCTCTCAAGCCTTTTATTTTTGTTGATTTTTTTTGTTTACGACTAAATTTAAAGCACATCCAGGACCAGATTATTGCATTGAGACAATCTTACAAAGCATGTTTAATACAGAAGTATGAGCTTAATTGAAAGTATGTTTCATACCTGACTACATGTTACTTCAAAAAGAAAACTTTTAATCCAAGAAATAAAAGACCAAAAAAACACATTCTATCTTATTTCTATGTGATAAAAATAAAATCCTGACCAGACGACAGTTTTAGCTCAAATCCTGTAAAGAAACAACAACAAAAAAATTAAAGCTGCAGTCGGTAACTTTGATTTAAAAAGCCGCCCTGTTCCGGCGCCGACACACACTCATCCTCGTACCTCTGGAGAACTTTTCTAATTCCCTTAAAACGGGATGAACCATGAGTATTGATTATGAGTTTAATTTCTTCCACTGTTAAAATCAATATAAAAGCTTTTTGGTGCTGTCCAGACAAAGGAGGATGTTTTAGCGTCACAGCCCCCCCTTCCCACACACACACCCACACACACACACACACACACACACACACACACACACACACACACACAGTAAAGGTTCCTCTGAATCTCATGTGACGAGGAGTCGCTCCTGACGCTCCGAGCTGGATATTAACGCCGCCAGATGATTCAGTATGATCTGCAGCCAGGAAATTCATTCTCTGAAATGAAAGAGAAATCCAATTTCCCCCTGTATACTTCTCATTTGAATATAAATCAAAAGCCTGGTTTGCTGCCTCCCTCCTTCCTGGATGCGACGCTTCAAATTAAAAACATGAAGATACGTCAACAGGGCTTCTGTTGGTTGAGCTGCAACACTGATTCTGTCTCTTAGAGTTTCCCCCCTTCTTGTTACTGGATTGTGTGTGTGTGTGTGTGTGTGGGTGTGTGTGTGGGTGTTTTTCATCTGTGTAAATCGGTTTAATTAGATAATTAAAACAGTTTGAAAAAAATTCTTAACCTCAGTTTGGCTCCAGTGAGCCATACTGTGGAATTCCTCACTCCTGTGAAGAATTGCTCAATTCATTACGTCTTCGTTTTATTTTGAGATCATAAAACAGTTTGATGCATTTTCTGTTACGTGAAACGAGTGTATTTTAAGAAACTGCAGGAAGTTAAAAATGTGAGCATTTTTTCAAAAGAATAATACTGTTTTCTACAAGACGTAGACAGATTTCACAACTTGTGAACAGGAAATGAAGGGAAATAATTGAAACATGAAATCCAGTTTATCTAAATGTACTTTTGACAGGAAAAACAGAACTTTGAGATAAAGTTGGAATCTATGCGCCATGAATTTGTCAGACTGGAAACAGAACTCAATTTCAGGAACCCAGAAGTTGTCCTTCTGAAATAACACTGAGTGCAAAACAAGATATGGTGAAAAATTTAATTGCTAGCATCCTGAGAAAACCCATTGGGGCCGGAACCTTTGTATTGGCACGTTTCTGGTACACTTGAAAATCTGACGCACAATTGATCTCCGCATAGAGCAACAATGGATGATGAAGCTGCTTCTCTGAGCCCACAGGGCCGTTTATTTTGGCTCCAAAAGACGATTTGATAAGACACTGGAAGAGACTACTGTTACGTTCATGTTACATTCATGTTGCGTTCATGTTGCGTTCATGTTCCGTTCATGTTACGTTCATGTTGCGTTCATGTTCCGTTCATGTTACGTTCATGTTACGTTCATGTTGCGTTCATGTTCCGTTCATGTTACGTTCATGTTGCGTTCATGTTGCGTTCATGTTACGTTCATGTTGCGTTCATGTTGCGTTCATGTTACGTTCATGTTGTGTTCATGTTGCCTTCATGTTGTGTTCATGTTGTGTTGTCTCAATGCTAAACACGCAGCAGTGCAAACATCCCTAATGCTAATGTTAGCATCCACCAAAGTATTTTTCTTCGGTTACAGGAATGACCAGAAGAGCAGCACTTTACACCAATCTGATTAGTGAACAACATGACGAATGAAATGTCTTTGTTGTTGAGCTCATGTCTGTTTATTAGAGCTCAGCACAAGGATGTTTGTGACTATTAAGATGTGAACGGACGCTCCGATTGATTAAGAGAATTTTTAGTCGAGTCACATGGCTGTTATTTTTTTATTCTGTCCCATTGCATTTTCTTCTGCACACACACCGTCATACCCACACCTCCCCTCTTCCAGGTCACAGTGATCCGGCCTGGAGCTGTAAATACTGTAGAGAGCAGCCAGAGGGAAGGTGAGATGATTGCCTGTATCGACTGTATTGACTTTCATCCTGTGAAATGATCCAGCGCAGCTTTTTATCCGACAGCCAGCCACCTCCAGTGATGGATACTTGAAGGAGATTTCCCCCCTCATATTTTTCTTCTTCTTCTCCTGCTCTGGAGAAGCGAGTCCCTCGTCAAACCAAATAGAACTTGGAACATCTAACAAAGCGCTTTGCTGCGTCGCTGCGCACAGCATTGTCTCTGAAGGCCGTGGCTCCAGACGTTACCAGAGAGACAACTGCATGTGTCAGCGGCCTGCCTGACAGAAGAACCAATACGCTGTCTGGTTTACGTGACTATCAGGGTACAACGCCACGACAATAATTTAAAATCTGAGCTGTGAACCCTCTGGGGGACTGTTTCCCCCAGAGATATCATCATCTCGCCTTAGAGGTCAGAGTAGAGGATGATGGTACCTCAAGATGGACATATTCCCAGAAAATCAGCAGATTAATCAGTCGCTGGATTGAAAGAAAAGAAAAAAACACAAACAAGTTCAGTTCTCCATTGGACTCGTCAGGCATTAACAACGACGGTAATAGAGGATAAAGCCGACCGCTGGGGAACTTGCTGGAGCTCCGATGTGTGACGGTGTGAGACTCAGACGGTGATTCAGTGCCACAGAGGCAGCTGCCATGAAATCCAACTGACAGCATCATGTCTCATCCGAGACACCCTGTGGCCAAACAAACAGCGGCTCATTAAAGGCTCCGTTTGGACCGAGCGGGCAGCGGGGTGACATTGGCTCGTGATGTGGCGGAGCGAGGAGCTGTGGGGTAATAAACCTCGACAGTTTTCTTTAGCCTCCATCCTCGTGGCCTCTTACCAGTTGTACTTGAACTTCGGGTGCACTATTAGCTGAGAGAGTCGATTTGAACATAAACGTTTGGCGGCTTAAGTAAGACTTAAAGGGGCGTTGCTACGTGAAGGTCTACTTTGTTGGAAATCCTTGAATCCCCCCGGCGACCATTCAGCTTTGCAAAACGCTCAGTGGGACCAAACTTCAAGGACGCAGCTCAGCCTCACAGAGGAGATCTTCTTCTCCTGTGGCTCTGCCACTCAGCTCCTTCAGACTAGCCAGCAGCAATTAGCAAACATCTGTTGGAACTGCTCATTGTAGGAGCTACTTCTCAGTGCAATGCTGGTTAAAAAAACAGCATTGTTAAAGGGTTAATAGAGGAGCCATGTTGTGATTCAGAAAGAGCAGGAGTTTTTTTTTTAAAGAGACAAGGCCCAATTTCAAAACAGTCAAATTTATTTTGTCATATTTGATAGATGCAGCTGTTTTTCAGCTGAAGGTGAAACTGTCGCTTTGTTGTGCTATGAAATGATTCTGTGTGGCTGGAAAACACATAACACTGCCCCTTTAATATGTGTTTAGCCTGTTCTACCATATTTGCAAGGCTCTACAATAACTATGAACGACGTTCTGCTGAAGAGACGCCGCGTGTGCTGAGAGAGGAGGAGGATTTTATGAAGACTTAACATTTCATCCATTATTCATGGAGAAGTGGAGGAGACCCAGTGAGACGGGAGCCACTTCCATCACCGCTCTGTTCTGTTTGACTCGTTCAGATGAGCGAGTCAAACGAACCGCTGGGAATTCCTCCCTCTCTCTGAGCAAAAAAAAAAAAAAAAAAAAAAAAGCTCACTGCCGCAGGACATTTTCTTTCTGTTGTTTTTTTGGCTTCCAGGCATCCAAACCTTGGCGACAGGCGTGGCTCCGTGCTCCTCATTAAATGTCATTTTCCTCAGAAGATCTTCTTAGGAAACAGAAACTGGGCGAAGGAGCAGGCCTTAACGTCGATGAACATCTGACTTACAGCTTCACTGTTGCTGCGTTTTCGTTGCCGATGTGAGCGAAACTTTGTCGATCGACAAGACAAAACCTGCAATGTTCCAACTGCAGCGTTTCCGTTGCAGTTCAAGTCACGTGTGAATATTTGTGTTCACGTGATAAGTCGTTTGAAAACGTGCCTCACCATCGTTCTCCTACTTCCTGTCTTCTTCTTCTTCTTTGTGGTTTCCGCCACCAGCAACATCCGGTTGATGTTCGCGTGACTCGGGCGATGCGGAAAAAAGTTTTCAATCGCAGTTTTCTCGACGTTTCAACGCGGCCAAAGAAACTGCCTCGACCTGGCGACAAGCCTTTTTGTACAGGAACTAGTTTTTTCCAAAATTGCCATGTTTCCATTACGCCAATTCATTGTCGAAATATCAATTTGGTAATTATCTGGTCAGCAGCTTGTGTTCTCTGTGCGCTGAGCTCTGCAGCATGCGCCTCACTGCGGCTCCTCTGAACAGGAAACACGTGCACTGCTTGATTTTCAACAATAACAAGTAGGAGGAATCTATTATTTGCCGCCATTCATATGCAAAGCTGTCCTCTATAGGAACATCCTCCTCTTCAGTCTGCTCTCAGAGGTTCGCTGCTGCTTTGTTAGTGGTGTGTCAGTGTGTGCTTGAGCTTAAGGGAGAAAAACATCATCCTATATCAATTATGTCGAGTGGCCTCTTCAGGCTGATTAGCACATAAGAGGCCGAGCCAAGCGCTTTGTTCTGGAAGCATACGGGGATGGAGATGGGTCGGTGTGTGTGTGTGTGTGTGTGTGTGTGTGTGTGTCAGCGGAAAGGCAGTGGAGGACCATCGAGGTTTGATCAGAACCGAGCTCATTGGCTCGGAGTGAAACGTCGTCTGTGTTTGGCTGTTCTCCCGAAAACAGACAAATAGTCAATTCGTTTAGAATAATTGCTGTTATTTGGTCCCAGAGTCTCTGCTGCC